ACGTGCTTACCTACATACATAATAAATAACTAGTGAGCGGAGGCCCAGTGAATAATAACAGAGTAAAGGGGTATATGAATGATGTCTCAATATCATGGCTGAAATAAAACAATTCACGTTCATATTCTTGTTCTGAGCATGTAGACAAAAGTCAGAGTTCATACTTAATCTTTCACAAATGTTCATCAGTACAAGTAGATCTCACACAGAGTTTAAATTTCACTTGTCAGTTCTATAAAGGAACCTTTGGCCGGGTAAAGATAACTTGTCAGTCCCATATAGGGACCTCCGGACTGGGAACTTGCGTACTTGTCCATCCCACTTAGGAACCTCCAGCCGGGTACAGATAGCTTGTCAGTTCCATAGGAACCTCCGGTCCGGGAACTTACAGCATACTTGAATCATAACATCATGTTACATATAATGTACTTGAATCGTGGCATGCATTACTTGCATCATACTTGAATCGTAGCATGGCATCATAATTGCTTTTTATATCGGACAATCATTCATAGTAATAAACTGGGCATTTTCTTCAACAGATCTTATTTAATACATAGAAAATACATAGATTTGTACATAGCTTTACTAAGTTATTACTCACAGATATTAGGCATCGTAAGTAGGCAATTCAACTTTCCTGTGGCACTTGACCTACATAGTTACAAAACGAACATATCCATAATTATACACCTGTAAATGATAACTTGGTCCTTTCTTGTTCTGGTATGTACCTACATCATTATCCTCATTATGGGGTCTTAATCATGGCCTACGACTACCTAGGATGGAATGACGATGCAAAAATGCACTTAAAAATATTTCCAAAATTTTGCTAAAAATAAGGTCTACACTCGAGCGTGTCTTTCCCCGCTCGAGCGGACATGCAAGATGTGAAGCATCGCTCGAGCATGACTTTTCCCGCTTGAGCGGACTGTTAAACTTGGAAAAAGTACTGGTTGTATGTTTTTTACGCTCGACGGACGCCTGATCTCCGCTCGAGCGTGAGACTCAGACCTACGCTCGAACGTGAATTACCTCGCTCGAGCGGACTGCAAAACATATGAACTTCTGGGTATATGCATTTCACGCCGCTCGAGTGGAAGTGCATGTACTCAGAGTGTCCGCTCGAGCGTGGATCAAATTTCTAAAATTTCTAAATTTGATCTTCAAGCTCAAACTCAACTTTAAAAGCATCAAACCTCATTTTTCTGGGCCAAAACTTGAGAAAATACATAAAGACCCTTAAAACAGTATAAATTAAAGATTTTTTCAATAAATCATGGCCCAAAGACATGCCAATTGAACACAATTTCAACTTAATTTTTAGGAATGATTCAAGAACATAATATGCTTGGACTTCCTTAATCTTGAGCTTCACAAAACATGATCAAATGCCATAACACAATTTGAAACTTGATGATTTCCCTAAATTGGGGTGAATTTCAAACATGCAAGAAGGAATTTCCTAGTAACATGTTCTTAATGCATTGAAATGCACATGCATGCATGAATTCATTCTTAATTCCATTCTTTTAGCTCAATTCTCATGTTAATCCACCTAACACCATTAATTTCATGCTCTAATCAACTAAATTACAAAGCTAGAGATTAACATTCTTACCTAAGGTTCTTAATTCCTTATGCTAGAGATGGTCTTGAGTGATCTTCCAAGTTTTCCTAGCAATTTCCTCTAATTTCAAGCTTGATCTCAATTCCTTCCCTCACACACACACACACACACACATTCTCTCTCTCTCTCTCTCTCTCTCTCTCTCACTCACTCTCATGTTTTGATGTAGGAATGGCTCAAAGGTGTATGCACGTGGATGAGAAGAGGTGAGTGGGCTCAAAAGAGATGGTGTTTTTATTAGGTAAGGTCATAGGCAATTAAGCGGAATTAAATCAATCCTATTTAATCGTTTCGAAACGAATTTTAATTGAATCTGCCATAAAATCCTAAAAATTCTAATTAGCACGTAAATCAAATCAATTTCTGTATCGAATGCCGATAGGGCCTTCAATTCGCAAACCGAAACTAAAACATGAACATATCTTTCTATGCTAAACAAATAGAGACACATCAATAGTGCAATGCACAAGTCATTAACTCATGATTTCTTCTTAATTACTTGTTAGGCACACTTAAGCATGAATTAACGTTAATTAAGGGTCGGGGTTGTTACAAGTATTCGGCAACTTTATTCACCTAACAATATTATTCGGCAAAACAATTGCCCACTAGGACATTTTAATCAATTTTCCGCTTTCCAATTGGGGCAAATCAGCCGATCATCTTCTCAACACCTCTGCTATACATGCATACTCGGTCAACTTGGTCCAAACATTACAACGACATTTACTTGAGTTACAAACTCCCGCTCCTTTTCATATAGCTCGAAACAAACGCCAGTTTTTGGGGCAATACATTACACACTTGGCAGTCGGCAGTTCGCATATTTTTGCACGCCGTCATTTTACCAAAGCCGAATTTCCCCTGTAACATGGGGCAATGGGGCAAGTCCAATCTACATTCCTTCCGACTAACACCTGTCATTCGAAAGCAATGGGGCTAGTCTACCTCAGACTAAACGCAAACCGTGTAACTCGGCAATTAAATAGTTGGCCCAATATCTACTTGGCAATTCCTTACAAGCGGAGCAATATTATTTGTGATTGACACGTCTACCTCATACGGTACAGACCATCACTGACACAGGATGCATTATTCAAAATCCTTGCAATATTAGCACTTGATCGCCACTTAAATTTAGCATAAGTCTTCAAGTACAGCATAATCTTCGCACTCATTATGGAGCGCCATCAGCAAAGGCTTACACCCTCGCCCGGGGGTAATAATACCGCAGGCCTACACCCCGGGGGTAATAATACCGTGGTCTATTTTTATGATTTATTTGGAACTCATGTGATATAATTTCATCATATGATAGACATATGTATATTTATACATACATTCAAGACATACGTACATTTGTGCATACATTCAAGCATACATGCAGTCATTCATTCATATATTTATGCATACATTCGAGCATACATATAGTCATTCATTCATACATTTTATTTATTTATCTAGAGTGTTTTTTATCAAAAAACCTATCAGTTATTTGAACAGCGTAACCCGGCAAGAAAAACTCTCATTCCTTCTACAGTAGACAATGAAAGTTTTGGGGCAATTGTAGGAGCCAGAATTAAATATATATATATATCTACTTATTGGGGTTAACTCAAACAAGGCCTACAATGGGTCCAGCCCAAACAAAGGAGCCCATCTAGTAAATATCACACCCCTCTCTATAAAAGGAGGGCATCCTAAGGAATGAATGTATGCCTTATCTCTCTATGTGATACAGCACACAAATACTCTTCATTTTCTTTCTCTGAATCTAGTGACTGGCTTTACCATCGGAGTGTCTTCGGCCGACAATCCCGGTTGGGTGGCGCCGACTATATTCATTTTTGCAGATTTACAGGAGCAAAGCTTATCTCTTTGTTGGATCTCTACAATTCATATGAGAGCATTTTCCTGATCTCACAGAGGCTAATAAGTAACTCAAAGTTAATGAACTTAATAGGCTATTGTATATCTTTATTCTTGCCTTTAAAAGATTATCACGTGCAATGCACGTGACAATTTTTCATTTAAAAACTTAGGTAGTGTTTGGTAGAGTTTTGTAAATGTGATTTGAGAGTATGAGTTGTATTTTGAGTTTGTGTGTTGTGGAATTATGATTTGAGTGTCGAAAATTTGTTTGGTAAAGAGTTTTGAAAATAGTTTTGGAAAAGAGGTTTGATTTGAGTGGGAAATTATTGATGTGACATTTGATATGTGATACAAAAATTTACAACTCATAACTAAACATACAATTCAAAATTATTTTAAAGCACATAAAAAATTTAAAAATTTTCAGAAAATATTTGTCCCGATTATGTAAATCAATTGCAAAAAAAAAAATAATAATAATAATCTAGAAATTAACCGGACATCCATCCGGGTGGTCTACCGGGTGGTCATCCGGGTGGTCTACCGGGGGGTCATCCGGGTGGACAAAAAAGGCGCCTGTGCATCAGAGTTCTCTCTGCAGAGTGTAGAAAATTAATTTGAAAACGAAACCAAACATCATACTCCAACACACAGGTAGAAAACTGATTTCAGAGCACAACCAAACAGAGCCTTAACTTTCATCAATAATTACCCTTATTTGATACAAAAACAAAACTTAAAAGATAAATATATTCAAATTAAAATATCATGAACCAAAATGAAACCAGAGAGAAACTATAAAAAGCTTTACGGTAATATGCCTTTTACTTTTTTAGAGATCTACAAATATTTTTATTGTAAATTTTTTACAATTTGTACAATCCCCAGCACGTGGACTCTCTGCCCTTGTTTGGAAAGTTAGTTATTTTAATTTTTTGCTATTTTAGTGGCCATTTGGAGTGAGGAGTGAAAAGCTGCGTTTTACTTCATGACAAAAAAAGCCATGACAACAATAGACGCAAGAAAATCATTTGGGAATTGAGAAAAACATAGGTCTGTGAAATTACATAACTACCCTCCATATTCAACCATACACATGAGTAAAAAAGGAGTATTTTGATCATTCTAATGTGATGTGACACCATAAAAAATATTAAACTAAAAAGTCAAAAAGTAACTTTTTACCAATTTTTTAAATTAATTTCTAAAAAAACTAAAAAACTTAATAAAAAGTCAAAAACCAATTTTTTATCAACTTTTCAAAATACCTCTTAGTATGTTAAATTTTTTGTGTTTGAAAAAATAATTATATTTTTTTATAATTGAATGTGATATTTACGAGAAAAAAATAAAATAATTATAAATTTGATGTGATATTTTATCTTATTAACTATTTTAATGTATTTTATCTTATTAATTATTTTAATATATTATCAATTTTTGGGCTTTACCAACAAGGCCTCGGTATCACCGCATCCAAACAGAGATTTTCCCATATTTCACAATCCGCACCCAAGCAGAAGCCGACACCCAAACTGAGAAATAACCGGTGTTGTTGTCACCTCTATCCCCCTCATCCCTCTACCGGTCTAGAGAGTAAAAAAACAAAAAACCCTAATTAGCTCCAACCAAGTCTCTAATGGCGTCGAAGTTCGGCATGGCCAGTGGCATACCAGAGGTCGTGTTCGACCGATATGGGACGCTATCGACTCTCGACAGTTCAAGAACGCTCTCAAGCACTCCACTGCTCTGCTTGCTAAATACCCCAACTCTCCCTACGCTCTTGTAAGTCCGTTGTCGTGCGCGCGCGCGCGCGCACACACACACACACGTATTGATTATATCTACATGAATGCAAGTGAATCATTTGAAGAAATTGGTGCGAGTGAAGTTGTTTAGAGTTATAAGAAGAATCAAATTGACAGATAAAGCTTAATTTTTTTTTTTTTTTGATGCGTCACTTGATCTTTAGTTAGCGTAAAGATAAGAATTTCAGTGTTCTTTTTGTGCGATTCGAATTTCAGAAGCATGGATTTGGCATTGTCGGTTTTCAAGATTATAGTGTTGAGCAAAATTTGAGTTAGGGTAACCATAAAAAAATTGAGTTTTTTTTGTTTTTGTTTTTGTTTTTTTGAATTTCAGAAGCATGGATTTGCCATTGATGGTTTTCAAGATTGCATAATGTTGCCACCAAGAAAAGCGTACACGTATTTTCAGCCTCCACATTTAATTCTCTCTCTATATAGTTATTAATCTACAACGTGACATTTATTGATTTTCAATGAAATGGAGCATTTGTTTTGGATAACCGGAGTGTGTGTGTATATATATATTTCTGTTCTTTATTTCGAAAACTTTACCTTGGTCATTTGCATTTATCGATTATCTTATTGGCCAACTGTATATGTATACTTGAAGTGGTTGATGGGATAGTTTCCTTCCCGAATAAGGTTGTGAAGAGTCAAAATGAATTGAAAATCTGAAAACTGAAAGAGTTTTAGAATCTGAAAACTGAAACATTGGGTTGTGTAGAACGTGTGGTTAATGCAAAATTTTACTTTCCATATTTGTTCCCAAAGTCTGAAACCGAAAATTTTACTTTCCATATTTGTTCCCAAAGTCTGAAACCGAATCTGTTATTTCGAGGGGCAAAATTGGTAGCAAAAATAGCGTGACGGAGTTCAAACCAACTTGTGTGCCCATGTCATATAATAGAATTGATAGATGTTCAGCACATTAATGTATAAAAAGCATCATACGTGGTGTAAGGGTTCTCATTTTTACACTTTTAACTATCATGCAGGCACTTAAGGCTCTCATTTTGGAAAGGATGGGTAAATCTGATGAAGCACTGTCTGTTTGCTTAAATGCCAAAGACCTATTGCATACCAATGACTCTATCTTAATTGATGATCTCACTCTCAGCACGTTGCAGATTGTATTCCAACGACTTGATCATTGTCAGTATAAGTATTGCTTAGTGTGCATACATACGTGATTATATATATGTTTTTTTTTTAAAATTTTTATATCAATAGATTTACATAGCTCAATAATTGTTTTATGTCGGCAGTGGACATGGCTACTAGTTGCTACGAGTACGCCTGTGGGAAGTTTCCAAACAATATGGAATTAATGATGGGTCTTTTTAACTGTTATGTTCGTGAGTACTCATTTGTGAAGCAGCAACAGGTTGATGGTATCCTATAATCATATATATGTATATATATTTGTTATTTTATAACATCTATATGCATATGGGTTGTTAAAGTAGGATAGAACATTGCTTATTTACATATTATCTTTGTTGTCAGATTGCTATTAAAATGTACAAGATTGTTGGTGAAGAAAGGTTCTTGCTTTGGGCAGTCTGTAGCATTCAGTTACAGGTTCTGTTGACCTTTTGTCTCTCGCTCTCTTTCCTTTTTCTTTTGTTCTTCAGTTTTTCATGTAAATGTTGTCGGTTTTAGCACATGATGTGTCTATAGCATAAATGACAAAAGGTGATATAATTTATGAGTAATATTAGTTCTCACTATGTCTGCCTTTACCTCTTACAATTCATGTGGTTAGTCAGGATTTTGTTAGAGAAAGATGGATCTTTAGTTAGTTCTTAAAAATTATGTAAAAAGTAAGGGAAAAGGCAAGGAACGTGAAGATAATTGTAGAACATCACTGTAAATTATTTGTTATTTGAAATTTTGCTCATTGTCTCATTTGACTGCTTATGATGATCGTGCTTCCTTGGCACCTTTTTCAAATTTAAAAGTTCTTAAACATTTATAGAAATGACAGAAAGAAAATTTACATGAGCAAGTTCTCAATGCACATTGATAGTTCATATCTTTATACATGCCGTAACATAAAACATGATTTACTATTTATTTATTATTATCTTTTTTTTCTTTTTAGCCAATGCTCTTGCAGATTGCCCATGTCTATTGCTAGATTTTTTTAGATAAAAGTGCATTTTTAAGTTCTGCTTTTTTAACAGTTTCTGTATAACTGTAGGTTTTATGTGGCAATGGGGGAGAGAAACTGTTGCTTTTAGCTGAAGGTTTGCTTAAGAAGCACATCGCTTCTCATAGCTTGCATGAGCCAGAAGGTGCACTTTGTTTTTCCTTTTTTGTTCATAATGGGAAATCAGCCAGATGACCGATGTATTATCTCTTTTGGTTGATCTTCAAACTAAATGATGGAATGTGTTGCAGCTCTTATTGTCTACATTTCTCTATTGGAACAGCAGTCCAAGTTTGGAGATGCTTTGGAAATTCTCTCTGGGAAACTAGGATCGCTTATAATGATTGAAGTTGATAGATTACGGATACAGGTACTTTCTGCAGCTTTATTTTTTATTTTTTGAAATCTTTTTATAATAATTTATGCATCTTAATTGGTGTTTATTCCACATATACCCATATGCTAGGTTACTCTGTCATTCCAGCATGTTTTCCGTGGATGTTTGGTTATTTAAATTTAATGGGTACAGTTCTTGGTTTCCATTTTGGATGTGTTCTAGAATTTCAGTTTTTGACAATTGCCAATTGATAGACTGCACAGAGGGGGTAATACTCTACCTATTAACTTCTCTTCCCCAACCAGGATGGAAGCAAATCCAATCCCACATCTCTGTTTTTTGTTATTTTATACTGTAGCAACCTTTTGATCTTCAGTTCTGTTAGTTAGCAACCATTAGCATTTTATTTTGGGGTTGTGTGTGGATAAGTTGTCTCTCACCTAAAATTACTGAAGAGTTTGATGAATCCTTTCCTTGTATCCTCTAAATAAACACATATTTGCTGCTATATCAGTGTCTTTCTTCCAGTTTTTCCAAATGCAAATATGATCAATTGTATTGGTCTTTCTCCTTGATTAGTTGATGAGAGAGAGGGGCCCGCTGATTCATTACTGTGAATTACATATTTCTCTAACTTTGTAACTATGTCAATCAAAACATTTGTCTGAATCTCTGTAATTCTGTCAAATAAGCTTCTTTTGCAACTGGTTTCTACCTTTTCACACGTATTTGCTACATTGTCGTTTCATTTCTTTTAAATGTGCTAGCATTCCATAGAGCTGACTGGATAAGATGGATCTAACAAAGTGGACCTGAAGTAATTTGGAATAAGGCTTGTTGAGTTGGGTTGATATTAATATTAAATGTGCAGCTGGTTCAAGCATATGCATTTTCCCATATGTGAGAAACATGGGCTCTTTTGGGCTAAAATATGAGAAAATTCAAATACTTGGAGCATCTTCATACCATTTCCCTTTGTTGATATGCTGCTTGATTGTCACTGTTCAAGGTTCAGATTTCCCATCCTTTTTTGTGATTATTGTATTTTTACGGTAAGATATTGATTCTCTTTAAGTTGATTGCTTTCCTTATATACTCGTACTTTAACTTCAAGTTGACAGGGAAGGCTTCTTGCTCGGGCAGGTGATTATGCAGCTGGCGCTGATATATTTGAGGAAGTCCTAGAATTATGGTATACTTGTGGAGACATTATTTGCTTTTCTCGATGATTTTCTTTTTATTTATTTTTCAACTAGATCTTCCTTTGTACTTCTTTGGATTTGAGCATCTCAAGTGTCTGAAGGGCATGCTTTAACTTGTTAAGAACAGCTTGCATTAGGTGAAGATAAGTGATAGATTGAAGTTGTTATTCATAAGAAAGTTCAATTTTGATTGTGTTATTTATTTATTTGGTTTGTGGTAGCGGTGGTTATGTTTGTAATAGTTTTGTCTTCATACTAATGTTGCTGGGATCTTGTGGGTTGTCATAGCCTCGGAATTTAACTTGGCTAGTTGGGCTGCTTGCTTGCTTCTTTCGTGGACTAAATATTTTTTGTATAAACTTATCAGGATCAGGCTGAGCTTAATACAAGCCTATGACTTGACTTGATGTAGTATTCATTAGTAATGTGGCTCAGCAGCACACAGATAAGATGTGATGATGGCTGCTGATCAGCCAAGTCTTTCTTTTTTGCTAATTATTAAAAAAATTCTGACTTGTTCTTTTTCGCATAGTAGGGTTACTTGTTTTTAATTGCCAGTGGAATGTGCTAGGTCATGTGTAATTCTTGATTGAATGGATCAATCACTTTATGCAGTCCCAAAAATTTGGTCCTTCATGGTGTAATTAGCTGAGTTTTCCGTTTATCTTTTCCTTTGGGGCATATGGTTAGATGAGATCTCCTTGGTTTCCTTGTTCTCATTCTTACATCCCATGTCAACATTCTTCTACAGTTTTTCTGGGTTCTCTATGGGATCCTTGCTTGGATGCTACAGTGGGTTGAGATCCCTGCAACATCTGTCCACATTTGTTTACTAAAGAATTTGGGTTGCTTGGATTGTATTATTCCTGACTCTTGATCAGAGTTTTAACTATCGGCTGTGACGTATAGCATCAGCCGATATGTAACAGGATTTTGAATTTCTGATAGTTTTATTCACCTGTATATCAGCCGATTCTGTCTGCTATTGTCCGATATAAGATCCCATCTCTGATACTGATACCAATACCAATTTTGATATCATTGCTTAAAATCATGCTTATGATCGTATATTTACTTGCTCTTTCTGATAGGCGACACTATTGATGGTACCTGAACTTCTGCACATGCATTCTCACCATTTTTTGTTTCTTTCATCTGGCAGCCCTGATGATTTCGAGTGTTTCCTGCACTACCTAGACTGTTTGCTGGAGGATGAAAGTAGGTGGTGCAGTGGTGCTAATGGTGATTCAATTTATTCATCCAAATCTGTGGACTGCAAGATTTTGCAATTGACAGATGAAGTGGTGCACATTTTAACTATTGCATTATGTCTATTATAGTTTGATACAATTTTTCCTGCTGCATTTGATTTTTGTGACTTGGATGTGCAGTTTGATTCTCGTATATCAAATGCGTCAGGTTTTGTTCAAAAGTTAATGGCTTCTGCTACTAATGAATCTATAAGATGTCCATACTTGGCGAATCTTGAAATTGAGAGGAGGAAGCTCTTGTTCGGAAAGGGAGACGAAGACAAATTAATGGAGGCTCTGATGCAGTATTTTTTGAGGTATATCACAACCTTATTTCTAATTTTTCTAATAAACTTTTAGAAAAAGTTAACTTTGCTCTACATCTACTCCTGTTAAGTCATTATTATTATTGTTGTTGTTGTTGTTATAGGCAAAAAAGGTATCATCAAGTCAAAAAACACCACAAGAGGGTGAACCCTGTACACACGAGAGAAAAAAAAGCAATAGCCTTCCTATAATATTTTATTTATACATTGATTGTTGTGGTTTAGTTGACTGTTTTTCGTCTGATAATACAATCTGTTGTCTATTAAGAGTTTGCCTTGGTCTTGCAGTAACTTGTGACCACTGTGTAGTGGATTACGTAGTTTCATTCAATTCTGCCTAAAGATAAAATAAAGGAAAAAGAAAAGAAGTGTCACATTGATATATTCTGATATTAAGCGCTGTTTAATTTGTGAATTAACCAGCTATTAACCTTTGATGACACAGGTTCATTTTCTGTTGCTTGCTTATCTTTACTGTCATTTGATTGACAGTTGATGCATCGAAGACAAATGCAAATTATTTGCTTTTATAATTCATTTATTGATTCTATACAGCTTCAGAAATTGATTATTCACATTATGCACGTCTGCATGTGGAGCATATCCTGAATTTTTCTTTTTTTCCCTTTCCACTGTACTGAATGTACAAAGTGATGCAACATGTTTTGACTTTTTAAGATTTTTGATTTCTTAATACAGGTTTGGTCACTTGTTCTGCTTCACCTCAGATGTCGAGGCGTTTCTTCAAGTATTAACCCGTGAGAAAAGGATGCAATTTGTGGAGAAGTTAATGGAAACTAGTGAGACCCCTGCAACAATGGCTGCAAAAGTGCTTGGGAAGTCATTAACACTCTTTAAAATTCAAGAATCTGTTGGCAACTTCTTCACTCTTCCAGTGAGTGGTATGTCTTTTGATTTTTCATTGTATGGATATATCCACAAAATCAACAAATTGGCTGATGTTTTGTCGCAGTTTTTCCTTGTCCCTCTTAAGTTATCATTACCTGGTCTTGTGGGCGGTTTTGAGGTTATGAAAATTCCAAATTTCATCCATGTTTATATTCTGAATTTTCTAGTGCTTTTTCTTCATTTCATTTCTTTGTGATAAAATAAATTGTATTAACCAAATGAAAGATACGGGGTGGGGTGTACAGGATGTTCACTAATTTATTCCTCCACAAAAATAAAATGAAAAAAAAAGTACACGGAATATGCACATAAAGCGATTTGACAATAAATTATACAGAGGGCTGTGAGCCCTTTTAAAGTTGATGACTCAGTCCTTGAGCTTCATGAGTACTGTGATTGCGGCACTCCACTCACCGCCAATGCGGTAGGATTCCGAAATGTTTATTATTATTAGCGCTGATAGCTCTCTTCTTTAAAGCTTTTGCCGTAAAAGCTGACATTGGGCTATTGTTGTTTTATTTGCATCTTCCTGACCAGAAGGGATTTGCTTTGTTTGCTCTCCTAATTGTGGTGGAGCATCTTCTTGGATATCTTTAGTCTTGGGAGTCAACAAGACATGGAAATTGTCTTCCTGTTTTCCGTGAGAATAAAATAAGAACATGCATATGAGGCCTATAAGTACCACATACAGCAAGAAGCAAAGGTGTGATGTAAACTATGATTAGGGTTTGAAAATGAGTAATATGATTAGGGATCACATGTACTTCATTCATAATCAAAAGTTCCTGGGATATAAAAGGCCACCTATGTAGTAGCATGGTAGAGGAAATTGGAAATTTTCTCATCTTTCAGTCATCCGGCCAAGAAGGGGAAACTTCACTGATTTTTAGAGGATCGGCCACTTTGTGTCTACCCTTCTATTCTATCTTATAGTTTTGGTAAGCTTACATCCCAACCTTAAATATTCTTCTCAAAAGAGGATTCCAAACTACTTCAGTGTACCTCCTGTCCAAATCTTCTATCAAATTTTATCCAATGTTTGTACCTGTCTTTCTTTCTTGCCTAAATTTGATTGCTTCAAGGTCATCTTTAATTTGATGATTCATTTCCACAAACCATACCCCTTGTGGTTTTGACATTATTTAGCTGTTACCTCCTTCCTCCAAATTTCAGATGATCTGAAATGCCACATCCTCCATACCAGGAAGTTATGTTTTGGAGTCTGCATACATTTAAGCTAAGAAGTACTGACACTGACACGGACACGGACACGGACACGGACACGGAAACGAATATGGATGTGGATGTGGATATGGATACGGCGGGGACACGGCAATAAAATATGTTTTCATATATTTTTATTTGCTATGGCGGGGACATGACAATAAAATATGTTTTCATATATTTTTATTTGCTATCTAGATTAATATTATATTGACAAATAATTAATTTTAATAAAAACTAACTCTAATTCTATTTTTTTTTTTAAATTAAAAAAAACACTTTTAAATTAGTACTTACAGTTTATATCTTTTTTATAGATTATCTATTAAGGGGGTGTTTGGGAAGTTGGGTTGGAGAGCAAAATAGGCTAAAATAGCCAGTACAGACAAAATAGGCTAAAATAGCCAATAAGACAGAATGTCATATTCAAACCATAATCATTTTACTTTTTCTCTCACAACCATCAAATTAATTTCCAAAAAAATGCCAACTATCATCCCAAATATAACTTTTTCAGATAGGCTAAAATAGCAAAAAAATCAAAAAGCCAATCAAAATAGCCAAGTTCCCAAACGAGCCCTAAGTATTTAAATTTAAGAAAAAAATAATATACATTCAACATTCATCATTCATCATTCATCAAAAGCACTAAATAAAATGGAAGAAAAGACAACTTGACATGTCCCTAGTGTGTCCCGAAGTGTCCCCGGCGTGTCCCTTGAGAATAAATTAATTAAATAAGGGGACACGTCACGTGGTGTGCCCCATACGTGTCTTCGAAGTGTCCTCGTGTCTCCGAAGTGTCCATGTGCCCGACATGGATACGGCACTTGTTTTGAAGTGTCGGGTGCTTCATAGCTTTTAAGCCTTCTGTCCTGTTTTGTTCGCTTCTTATTATCTTCAATTTTAACTTCACTGTTGTTGCAAAAGGTAAAAAACAAAAAAAAAAATTGGAAGTTCACAATGTCAAAGTTTTTAGTGCTTTTGTGCTTTGCTAGTAGAATATTGACTCCAGCTCTTCTTCAGACCTTGAGCGCCTTGCTGTACAAATGGTGGAGATGTACTGTAAGAACCTTCCACTTTCAAAGGACTTGGATGTACAAGAGAGCATGCATGGCGAAGAGCTTCTGTCTATGGTGTCCAACATTTTGGTTCAGGTAACACAGGTTGCCTCTGCAAATTTGTATGGTTTTATTATCTACATCTCTTTATTTTGCTCTGTTTCTTTATTTTTTTAATCGTTAGTATCAGAACTATCAATTTGGCCCTGAAACCATCCAATTCATCCTGAAAAAATACACGCTGAGCATCAACTGAGTTGAGGCTGAGCTAAGCTCGGTGACACATTTGGCTGAAACTGATTTTAGCTTGAGCTTGAGCTGTGCTTGCTATTCTGAATCTCTCTCTCTCTCTCTCTAAATTCAGTCTGGAGCATCAACTGAGTTGAGGCTGGGCTAAGCTCAGTAACACATTTATCCTAAACCGATTTCAGGTTGAGCTTTTAGCCGTGCTAGCTAATCCGAGTCTTACTCTTTTTTCTCAAGCATCTGAGAACCTGAACTGTTGCTATTAAACTAATCACCACCACCGGTGAGTTTTCAGTATCTCAAGCCATAGCTGCGTCGTTGCCGCCAACCAGATTGTCATTATTACCAGCTTGTGATTATCCCATCCTTACCATATTAGTTTTTTTTTTTATTTTTTTTATTTTTTATTATTGAATATTAGTTTCTTTCTAATCTGAATATTAGTTTCTTTTTAAAGCTGACGAGTGTGTTGTGTTGGGCAGTGTGGATGCTGGTAAGTATTGAACACCAAACACTTGACCACATTGCCCTAATACTATGTATTTTGGGATGAAGTGTGTTGCACCTCTCTGTATTGTAACTCATTAAGATCATAGTAAAACCGTAGCGACCGTGGATTTAACCCTATTTTGAGGTGAACTACGTAAATCTTTGTGTTTTTGTGTGCTTGATTTAGTTTCTTGTTTTTTCTTGTTTGTGTTTCGTGTCTCACTGATTTTGGTTAGGTGTATCATTTCCAAACATATTGGTTATCATTTCTATATGGCGCTGTGTGACTGAGATTTTAAAGGCATCACATTGTTAAAAAAAGGGATGAATTTTTAGTTGACACTCTACGTACTCAGAAATAAATGTTAGAGATTGTTAAATTCTAATTTCTTGAGATATATGTTATCAGACACAGATTGTTGAATTCTAATTTCTAATAATGGAGTCTGTATCCTGAGTTGCTAGTTGTTCGTATCCATTATATAGTCTGTTCTAGTTTGACTTCTAGGCCAATGGATACTAGTTGGTGAGTTTGTGTGCATGTGTCATGTGTGGAAATTATCTTGTTGCAAGGTTCCGTTATCTTTGTATATTATTTTTTGTTACTTAGGATTGGCTAATTCCTATAGTCAGCTTACTTAGAGTATTCTTTTTCTTTGTGCAATTATGTTCTTAGCTTTGAGGCTTATCCTGCATCTTTAATTTTGCTTTTTTGGCTGTAGTTATTCTGGCGAACTAAGCATCTCGGCTATTTAGTGGAGTCAGTTATGGTTTTGGAGTTCGGTTTGACTATACGAAGGTCAGAAATTATTTTCTTTGTTTTTTGCTTCATCGTCGTTGTAATCATTTAGTCCTTGACATAACAGCAGAATGATGAAAAAAGATTCATGTAGCCAACCTCACTTGATTGGGACACAAGGCTTAGTTTGGTTTGTTTCATTTTAGCCATTCATTGTAAAGCTGTACATGTTGGTAATGTCAACAAAACCATGCCAACTGTTAAATGCTTGTACTAAAAAAAAAAAAAAACAGAAGTTTATGAAAAATGTGTTTTATTTACTTTTTTAATCTTAATCGAGTGGCCATTGAAATTCTTAAGGTTAAGGTTGTATGAAATTGAAAAATTTCTTTGTCAGTTTGATCATTTGGATCCCGACTATATAATGTCGCCTAGTTTCTCAAGACCCATTAGCCTGCTTTCCTATGGGCCATGGTTCAGGTAAAGATGAGTCCATTGGCAAACAGGAAAACGAAATGATGTTTTCTTTTTGTCATTTCTAGTTTCTGGTACATGTTTTTTGGCCAATGGCGGATTCTCTCTCTCTCTCTCTCGCTCCTGTTTCTTCTCCAATCAGTCTTTTGTAAGCGTCATGAAAAGCATGCACATTGAAGTTCTGGTTGAAGATTCCTTGTTTGTAATTGTGTTACTTTTCTCTGTTAAAATTTACCTAAATTATGACTTGAAGCATGTTAGGAGTGTTGCACAACCTTATTTTATTTTATTTTTATAGTTTGGATTATACAGGAGTTTGGATACCTATGTAACCACTATGTTAATATTCTGAACCATGAAGAAATATCCATTATCCTCCTTAGTCCACTGGGTGGGTGGATGATTTTGTTAGCCATCACTTGGTTTAAGGCCTCGTTTGGGAACAGGCTAATTTAGTAACTTTTTGGTTATTTGACTAAAATATGAGCTAAAAAAAACTAGTATGTTTGGGATGACTTTTTAGCTTTTTACGAAAAGATGTGCAAAAAGTAGAGAGAAAAGAGAATCTTTGATTTTTTGGTATGGGTTGTTGGCTTTAACTTTTTGGCTTTTTGGCTAAAAATGAGGGTTCCCAAACGAGGAATCAAACATTAGCCAGGCGTCACTCAAGAATGCATCTTAGTTAAATGTAAAATGTCCATGGTAGATGGCAGTGACTCAATGTGAATTCATAATTTACATTTATTAATAAGTTAATATGCTACTAGTTTTGTTTTGTTTTGTTTATCTTTTAGGAGGCATGGGCATGTTCTAAGAATCATGGATGCCAACGTGTAGACACGACAATTTAAAAAAAATCAGGACACGAGTCACGACATGGCAGGGATTTATAATTTATATATATACGTAACAATTTCTTCATTTTTTACATGACAAATACATGTATCAAAATAGTAATAAATCATTTTTCACTTCTATATATTGAAAAAGAAGTGTGAACAAAAAGTTTTATTATTATTTTTTTTGATGAGCATAATTTCATGGGAGTACACAACCCGTATACCAAAAAAAAAACTATAATGACTTTCATCAAAACTATTCTTCATTTTTTACATAACAAATAAATGTATTGAAGTATTAATAAATCCTTTTTCACATTCTATATATTGAAAAAGAAGTGTGAATAATAAGTTTTATTATATATATATTTGGATAAGTATAATTTCATTTAATAGAGGCACCATAGGATTGCACAACCTGTATACAAGAAAACCTATAGCAAGCTTACATCAAAACTATTCAAAAGTTACTATAAAATCCAAAAATTGACTCAAGGATGGATTGGCCATCCCTTAGTACCAACTATATCAATGCTAAAAAATGTGACTTCTAATTTTCCAAATAAGCTCTTCTTTACCCACTGAAGTTCTATGATTCCACTTGCCCCATGCTAACCACATTGATGCCAAAGGAAACAATCTTCAAGACTTCATCCTCCGCCTACCGACATAAACTTCTATCTGAGAAGATCACATCAACTCCCTCACCTCTCTAGGGAAAACCCAAAAACTCCAAACATAAAAAGGATCAAGTAAAAAAGAGTTTCCTAAAATAAATAATAGGACTTAATATTATTCATTGTGATAAATTGGTGAAACATCTTATTCACTAGAGAGGTGAGGGAGTTGATGTGATCTTCTCAGATAGAAGTTTATGTCGGTAGGCGGAGGATGAAGTCTTGAAGATTGTTTCCTTTGGCATCAATGTGGTTAGCGTGGGCAAGTGGAATCATAGAACTTCAGTGGGTAAGGGAGAGCTTATTTGGAAAATTAGAAGTCACATTTTTTACCATTGATATAGTTGGTACTCAGGGATGGCCAATCCTTTGGAAATCCTAAATTTTAAAAGCCTTAAGGAGGAGATTTAATAGGTATAAATCGACATCGTTTGGATTGCAATTGTTGGCACTGTTTTTTTCTTCAAACTTGTGATGTTGTTTTGTGCATATAAGCGGTGGATGCTTGTGTCTCCTTAGTCTTTGAAATATCTAATTCTAAAAAGAAAAAAAAAAACATTAGGAGGACTTGTTTGGACCCATGTTTGACATGTGTCTAGGCATGTTCAACGAGTATCAGGCCTTGTTTGGGAAGTTGGCTATCTATTTTTTTGGCTATTTTAGCCTAGCTAAAATAGTTGTGTTTGGGAAGTTGGTTGGCTTTGGTTTGTAGTTGATTTGATGGTTGTGAGAGAAAAAGTGAAATAATTATGGGTTGGATGTGACATTTTGTCTTATTAGCTATTTTAGCTTATTTTGTCTTTTAGTAGGCTATTTTAGCCCAACCTTCTTCCCAAACACCCCCTCAGTGTCCATTATAGACACAATACCTTCTTAGAAGTGTCCGTGATTCTTATGGAAGGATGTGAAATCATAGGCTTAAATTAGTTTTTTGTAGTCCTTCACCATAGGAATTGGAGTTGCGCAAGGATTGTAATTTAATATATCTCTTGGACCTTTACCCTGTTCTTTTGGCCTCTTAATCCAACTCTAGTTGGCCATCTCTCTAATATTTGTAAATTTTAAACTACCAAATCCCCTTATTTTAAATCTATTTGGCCAAATGCAACAATAAGGAATTTTCAGTGGCTTGCTTGAGAATTTTTCTTGATTTTCTACACCACTGAATTCTCAATCTAATCATAGCTGACCCTACTTTCTTTAGTTTTCATTGCAAATTTAATTCTAAAACTGTAATGCTTTTCCTTATCCTTTGCCTTTTAACTGAACACCCAAAAACCAGTGGATTGATATGTCAAGAATTTCTAGTCCTACAACCTTTAACAAGTTTCTTACAAACTTTGTTCATCACAAACTTGATGTTGATTGAAAGCCTAAATATTGAGTTTTTTCAGTGGTGTACTACTTCCGTGCAGAGGCAGCCCGCATGTTGTTTTGAAAAAAATGAAGTAACAAGATATTTTTTAATTCTAACCAATCAGTTACTTTTTTTTTACTAGCAAATCTATTTAATTGATATATTCCCTTGTAGCTTTATTTTCTATTTATGGTATGGTAAATGCACATACTGGATAATTGCTGGCTCATAATTTATACCTTTGCTAACTTGGAAGTGTTATTTTTTATTTATTTATATGTTAGAAAGTTGTTTCTGGAGATAACATGTGTGTGTATGATTATATTTGGCAGATATGTATCGCAATACAAGATTATATTGGTGCACTTGTATTCTCATTGGGGCGCCCTTTCGTTAGCATATCAATGGTAACCTTGATTGATTTATTAACAAGTACATTTCTAGCTGATGAGATTTTTTTCTCTTTTTTTCTTGCTCCTCCCCCTTCTCTTCTCCTTTTATCTATTATTTTTATTTGCTTACTGCTTTTAGTGCCTAGAGTCCCAGACTGTCGTTGGATTTACTAGCATTTTACGTTTTTGACTAGTCTTTATTAAGCACCTTCTTGTTTGGATATAATAAAGACTGTTCTTCTCCTGTGTAGGTACAAGTCTTTGGATGTGAAGAATATCTTGCTGGAAACTGTTTCCCACCACATTTTACCCCAGATGTTGATATCTCCCCTTTGGGTAGATTTAGGTGATCTTTTGAGGGATTATGTGAGATTCATGGATGACCACTTCAGAGAATCTGCAGATCTTACATTTCTTGCATATCGCCATCGGAATTACTCAAAAGTATGTAAGATATTTATATATAATAGCTGTTCTTGGTTTCCCTTTCCTCATTGATGGCATTTTGTATAATGGAAGACGTCAAGCTATAATTGTTCGCCTTCTACATTGTTTCATTCCTCCACTATAATGAACTTTTGTCTCTTGGGATTTGCTTCTTGTCCCAATTCCGTCCTCTCCCTCTATCTCACAAACATGTGTGCGCATACACGTGCATATACTTCAATAAACACACTATTTCCTGTATGTTATGCTTGCCTCAGAAAACAGATTAGATCTCATCTCTGTGTTAAGAGATACAATTCATTGAAGGATGCTGGTGTGATGTTTGTTCATGTGATGTTGTCTTAGAAGTTTCTTTGAAAATTATGACCTGTGGAGTCATCTGATTGCCACTTGTTTATTACTGCTGGAATTTTTTTTCTTCATGTTTTAGGTGCTTAAGAGACTATTAAAATGCAGATGCCAATAAAACAGAGATGCAACCCATGTACACATGACATATTATACTAGGACCACAAAACTACTCCAAGTCCAAGGGGAATGAAACACGGTACTTAAAGATAAAAATTTAATGCAACAAGGAACTGAGCAAAAGATGTGAGATGTAGTACAGATTAGAAACTCGAAGTAATGGCAGCCTACAATTAGATTTTGTGGTGAGTTCAGAAAAAAATTATGCCCATGGACCAAAACTGCAACTCATTTATATCAAATCTAAAAATTGCCAAAACATCGTTGACTGCTAAGAACTTAATGTATTGTAAACAAATTAGTTCAATAGCATTCTATGAATTGAGTTTAAGACTGTAAACACTATCACAGAAAATTCTTTGGATTAAAAAGGGTTCATAATAATGGGATTTTGTGGCTTAAGTTTTCACTCTCAGCTTCCAACCTCCATTATTCTTGGTTAACCATTTGATGGATGTGGTATCTATGCTTCCAATGTTTTTTTTGGTATGAAGAGGAAGCTTCCTAGGTAGGCCACATTGGACCCACTCTTACAGAGTAAATCCCGGATACCTGCAATCACTTGCAAACCACATGTATTGGTTAAGCCAGGGAGAAACTAGTGAGAGTCGAACCCATGATGTCTGAGTTTACAGTTCATTCCAAGGTCCAACCCCTTTGCCGCTAGGCTACCAATACTGGTTGATGCTTCAATTTATCAATTCAAAAAAAAACTGGTACGAACAGGGAACACTGTCCCTCTATTGCTTAAAATTTCCTAGGTAACCCAGATTGGCTGTCAAAGGAATATAACTCCTTAGGCAAGGGTATTCCCTTTCCATAACTATTTTTAATAGAATATTTGTTCCTCACCATCCTAAATGTCCTTTTTCTTTGCATAAATTTCCATATGGAGAAAAGAAATAAACGGGGTGGTACAACAGTTTTGCATAAGCTGAGATGGAAATTAGTGGTGAGTATTTGCTAATTGGAATGGAAATTACTTAATTTTTATTGTTGGTATACTTCACATCAAGGTGATGTTAAGAAGGTATTGCTTCCGTTTTTGTAGTAAACCTTATTATGCTCTCAATAGTAAAATTTGTGTTTCAACTTACTACCACCACTCTCGAAAGAATCAGTGTAGGACTCAACCATGATACCTTCATTATATTTATTTCAGGTAATTGAATTCGTTCAATTTAAAGAACGATTGCAACGCTCTAATCAATATTTAGTGGCAAAGATTGAAGCACCAATTCTACAACTAAAGCAGAACGCTGATAAGATTGAAGAGGAAGAGGTACTACCCTTCCTCCCCCCTTTTGCGTCTCCAACTTTAGCTTCTAATGCCCTTGTTATTTATGTTACTACGTGACACCTGTTTACGCTTAACATAAATTTATCATTTTTCCATGTTCTAGTGTGTCCTTGAAAGCTTGAAGTATGGTGTTGACTTTCTTGAGCTCTCAAGCGAAATCAGATCCAAATCTTTGACTTTCAATGAAGATTTCCAGTTACGACCTTGGTGGACACCAACGTATGACAAAAATTATCTTTTAGGTCGGTATAGTATTCACCTTGTTCCAATTGTAATTGTAATCGTAATTGTAATTGTAACTCTTTTGATATGACCAATGTTCCATCATTTAGTTGTAATGGAAGGACTACGTAAGGTTGTTAGGTTACAATTTTTTCTCTCTTCCAAAGGATTCTGCCAAATTTTGTGGATGAAGGTTTTGTGTGTCCTTTTTTCCCTTTAAATTAAAAATCTCATTTCCTTTCTCATTTTTTATTTATTTATAATAATTATTATTTTTTTTATTGTTTTGGCTAAATTAGTTGTTTATCCTTGATTGCAGGACCATTTGAAGGAGTATCCTACTGTCCTAGAGAAAACATGGTATGGAAATTTAGTCCCTAACTTTATAGCTCCAATTTGGTGTTATGATGAAGCATAATAGGCGTTCTCAAAATACTATTAACAGTTCAGTAGGGGAATATTATTTTTCTAAAGGCAGTGTTTTTCAACTAGTTGTTGGAATCAAGCTACTGTTTAGTAAAGGCTTCTTATTTGTTCAACTATTGTTGAAAAGCATAAATTGATCGTTTTCATAGTCTTCATGGTGGGGTTGTCAAACAAGTCTATGAGCTGCTTGAGCTGAGTTCATTCAAGTTGCATACTGTTAAAATCCACCTACTCTCCACCTACTTCACCCACTTAAACCTACTCCACTAAACCTAACCCACTACACCACTACCACCTCACCTACTCCACTAAACCTTCACCCACTTAAACCTACTCCACTAAACCTAACCCACTACACCACTACCACCTCACCTACTCCACTAAACCTAACCCACTACACCACTACCACCTCCACTTCACCTACTCTTTACCTACTACACACTCACCATCTTCTATATATAGGAATCATGAATCATTGTAATAGAAATCAATAAACATTAATCAATAATACATAAATTCTTACACATACTTATAGACCTTGTGCTCTTTTGACTGAAGCAAGCTTGTTTGTCAACTCACTTTGGAAAATTGCTCATGTTATTCAGCAGATAGCTGGCTTTTAAAACTGTGCTCTAGATTCTTTTCCTAAAGACTTTTACATTTATTAGAAAGTATTAAGATGATGCATATAATACAAATAATCTCCTACAAAGGGATAACAAAGATAAGAATCAAGGCTGTGTTTGGTTCTATTCTCCAAACATATTTCTACCCCTTGTTTTGAGTGTCTTGTTTGTTTAGAGTCTTCAAAAATTAATTCTACACCCACTTTTGAAAACTCTTTCCAAGGCGGGAAAATTTGGGCTAACTAGTCGTCCTCCCAGACGTTCGGCCGATTGATCGGAACAGTGCTTTTTGTTTGTTTGTTTGTTTGTTTGTTTGTTTTTTTACAATTGGCACCAGTTATTTTTTATATTTTAAATAAAAAAATTTTGAAATTTTTAAATTTTTTTTGAGTTTTGAATAGAATTTTGAGTTGTGTGTTTGGTTATAAGTTGTAAGTTTTTGTATCAAATTTTATATGTCGTATCAAAAATTCCCCACTCAATTCAAAATTCTTTTCAAAACTCATTCACTTAACAAATTTTTCACACTCAAATCATAATTCCAAATCTCACAAACTCAAAATACAACTCTATTATCAAATTATATTTAGAAAACTCTACCAAACGCTACCCAAATCTTCCACAAAATCTACCGAAGTCAAAACATCTGGATCAACCAAACCTGAAACCCAATTATATAACACCGTGAACAACCGCTTCTCTAGCCAAGGGATCGAATGAGACATCCCTTGGAAGGCACACCTATTACACACCAACCAAATGAGCCACATTAAGCAGTGAGAGGCAATCATCCATGCCTTCCGGCGCCTCCTCCCAACCCTACTGTCAGCCCATTTTTGCAAAACTACCAACATTGGACTTGGCTGCGCCCATGCCAAACCCAAAGTTGTAACAATAATCATCCAAAGCCGAGAAGTAACTGGGCAATGAACAAGCAAATGGTTCAGCGACTCTGTATCACCACAGCACAAACCACACCAATTCACCAAAATATGCCCACGCCGAATTAAATTATCAATCGTCATAATACGCCCTAAAGTCGCCATCCAAACAAAGAAAGCTACCTTGGATGGCATGCCCATCACCCAAACACACTTCCAAGGGAACAACACCACATCATCATGAACAAGCGCACCATAAAACTAAGAACAGAAAAAATCCCCTTAGAGCCCGGGCAATCACAAACCAGAGAATCCTTTCCTACCTCCTCAACTTGCAGCCCATATAAGAAACCCAAAAACCCCATCAGCTGGTCCACCTCCCAATCCTAGACATCACGACACAACCACACATTTCAAATAACTGCTTGACCCTACCCAATCCGAACCTCTCCCACCCTCACCTCGCAATCTTCTGCAATCCCAAAAATCAAGGGGAACAACCTCCCTAAAGGAGTATCTCTACAACACCTGTCAGGCCAGAAACAGACTCCATCCCCCACCCCTACCTTCAGTCGAATCCTCCGCCAAAACTCCTCCTAACCTAACCAAATCTCCTTCCATACACCACGACCATGAGACTAATATATAAAATTTTGAACCCTGCTGCTGAAATCCTTTGATATTGAGATTACTCAAAATTTCCTTTTTATTTGTTTATTATTATTATTATTTTGTCTATGACATGTTTTATGCTCAAATTCTGTTTGTGAAATAAGTGCTGCTTATGTATATAGTACTGATGCTTTGTATGTTGTTTTATATTTTCATTGCAGCTTTTAGTTTTGAAAGAAATTCATCACTATGTGCTAATTCCTTGTATTTTATGGCAGAAACACCAGATTAAACAAACTGAAGGAAATGTACCAAAAGCCATTGAGAGGAGATCCCTTCTTCCTCGGATGATTTATCTGTCTATCCAGTGTGCTTCATCATTACTCAAGGAAAATATTGAAACCAATGGTTCTGTGTTTGACGCTAAAATCTCCTTAGAGCTAAAGATGTTGCTGGAACGCTATGCAAAATTCTTGGGATTTCCTTTCCAGGATGCAATAGAAGTTCTTTTTGCGATTTCGTGTGGCAGGAAGTCTACAGAGGTATGGTTGCACTATCAGTTTGATTTTGTTTGTCTTGCTATTGATCTTCTTCCTCTCCTAAATTGTTAATCCCTTAGAAATGCTAAATTTTCAAGGGGATATGTAGTTAATCTATTTAAATTCAAATCAAAAGTCTCATGGCCATGTTTAAGGGAGGGGAGAGTTTTGGATTTTTTTTTTTTAAGGGGGATTTATGTGTAGGTCCTAATAAGTGGACTTATTGTCCAATAGGTCTTATGATAATTAACGGCGTTTTTCATAAAACACTATTAAAAAACGTCACTAGATAATTTTCAGCGACAGTTTAAAAATTGTCACTCATTATACATTTTAGCGACAATTTTAAAAAATCGCCAGAAAAAATGTCCCTAATTTTCAATTTTCAGCAACTGTTTGAAAAATGTCACAGACAAAGTTCATTGTAAGTTTTAGCAACAATTTATAAAATCTGTGACAAAAAGTCAATAATTGTCAATTTTTAGTGACATGCAAAAAATCGTCACAAAAAATTATTTTTAGCGATTATTTTATTAAGACTTATTTTCAATGGAGGGGGATAGGAATTGGGGGGGGAACTGTTTTGGAGATGCATATTGCACAAGAAAACTCCAATACCCTTCAAGTTATTTTCATGATAATTGTAAATAAGGGGGGAATAGAGGGAGGAGAATTGTTTTGGAGATGCATATTGCACCTGTCTTGTGCGAAGTACTGATTAGGAAGGTGAATTGCATGTATAAAAATTGTAGCCTGCCTTGATATTTTGATTGGGATCTTAAGTTTTTCAAGAGCCACTAAAGCACGTGTTACTCGTATGGCCATGGAAGTGAAATCTGTTGTATTTGCATAAGCGAAGAATATAAAGATTTATTCTAGTGCTTATATGTCGACCATTAGATGATTCTTTCCCCCTTTCTCAAATTCTTCTGACCATTCTCACCATGATGCTCTCTTTTCATTTGTTTATCAAATTCTTGGACGTTCTAATTTGGTGCCATGTTATCTGGAATGTGGATCGTTCCGGTACAGGGAATGGGATGTAGTGCGCAACATGCTCTAAAATCTGGTACGATAGGAGTAGATTTTTATATATTATACTTGTGAATTTAAGATACTTTTAGAATAATTTTCTTTTAACTATTAGGCATCTTATAAAATTTAGTTTTTCTTCTTCTTGTAGCAAAACATTTCTATGAGTACTATGATCTATTTTATTGTTTTGTCTTGTCAAAACTTAACATACCTTAGATTTTAATTCATTATTTATTGGAAAAATTTTTTGGGATCATTTCAGATCTATAAATTTACCGTTTTAAGTGTGCCATGTTTTGGAACGTGCAGTATTGGTATGTAATTCACTAGGGTATTAGCATTTTCTAGTAATATAGATCTGGCAAATCTTGTGAATTGTATTGTCAAGTAAATAAATAGGATGTGCAAAAGCATAAATTCATGCATGCTAACTAAGCACGAACACCTCTCTGAAGGTCACATACAGGTGTTCAACACGTGTCGGACACATTGCGGACACGTGTCAGAAACGCTGGAAAGAGTCAGATACGTTGCAAGCACGTTGGGACACGCTAGCGACACACTAAAGACTAAGGGGTGGTTTGGGATGATCTAAATAAGTGCACTTTTTAACTTTTTATGAAATATGGATTGGGTATAGGTTGGGTTTGAAGTGATGGGGTAGAGAGGTGATGTGACTTAAATAAGGTGATGTGATTTAAATAGGATAGTGACATTTTAGCTTTTTGACTATTTTAAGTTATGACAAACAAGACCTAAATTTTAAAAAAATTAAAAATTTATTTCTCTTTAGACTACATTTCAATGATGGCAACAAGGTCTCGATTGAGTACACATTGAATTTGACTTCTCAGATCTGGTTAGTCTCTCTTTTTATCACAATTGATTGATCTATCAACTTAAAAAAAAAAAAAAAAAATTACTTCAAAAATCTTTGCATTAAAAAACATGGCAAAGTTCATCTAGTCAATCACGTCTGAAGTCAAAGCCTGCTCAAATCAAAAAACATTTTAAATAGAAACCAATTTTCATAAACCATACTCATCAAATCGTAGTACCCATTATTTCATAGCTTTTGGTAGCATGCTAAAAAGCACGGACATGTGACACAACATGGAAATCACACGAACATGCGGACACAAATTTTTTAAAAATGCAAGACACAAAATGTGGGGACACGTGTAAAACATATAATTTTGTATATTTATTATATGCCATACTTTTAAATGTTTAATATGTATTTTGTCATATTTAATTTTATCAAATTTATTTCTTTTTAGTGCAAGGTCTTGAGATCATAAAGTTTTTTGTTATTTTTATTTATTTATTTATTTTTGTTTTGTGGGGGGGGGCTAGACCAGCCCTGTCAATTTTCCCTATATATTTCTCTATAGTGCGAGGCCTTGATTCCATCGTCCAACTTGGTGGTCCTTTAGTCATTTTCTTTCTTCGAGGATTAGTCTGCTCCATTTCTTTCTGCGCCCACACAAAAAAGAGAGAGATTGAGAGAGATCACGATGAAAGAAAACTTTCAAAAGTAAGGATTGTGAAGTAAATTTTTTTTAAAAAATTGACAGATCGATCAATTGTGATAAAAAAGACTAACCAGATTTGAGAAGTCAAATTCACTCTGTGCTCAATCGACACCTCGTTGCCTTCACTGGAGAGTAGAAGAAAAACCCTAAAACTCTCAATTCTAGAGTTCACCAAGAAATGAGAAGATTAATTAGAAGCTTATAGTTGACATATAAACAAGAGAGAGAGAGAGAGAGAGAGAGAGAGAGAGAGAGAGAGAGATATGATCTTAGATTGAAAACATATTGAGATAGAGAGACGAGAATTTAAAGACAGAAGATCTCATGTCAGGTCGAAAGAAATAGTTGATAGACCGTCTTCTTTCACGTTTTGTAGAGACAATGCCCGTAATAAAACTTAAAACTTAATGATCTCAAGACCCGTACTAAAGAGAAATGAATTTTATAAAATTAAATATTTGACATAAAATACATATTAAATATTTAAAAGTATGACATATAATAAATATATAAAATTATGTGTTGCATGTGTCCACACGTTGTGTTTTGCATTTTTTAAAAATTTGCATGTCTTCGTGTTCGTGCCATTTCTGTGTTGTGTCACGTGTCCGTGTCATGTGTTTTTTAGCATGCTAGCAAAAGCTATGAAATAATGGGTACCTATGGTTTATGAAAATTGGCTTTGTGTTTAAAATGTTTTTTTGATTTGGGCAGGCTTTGACTTTAGACTTGATTGACTGGATGAACTTTGCTGTGTTTTTTAATGCAAGGATTTTTGAAGTAATTTTTATTTAAATTTTTTTCTTTATAGATCGATCAATTGTGATAAAAAGAGACTAACTAGATTTGAGAAGTCAAATTCATTGTGTGCTCAATCGAGAGCTTGTTGCCATCACTGAAATGTAGAAGAAAAACCCTAAAACTCTCAATTCTAGAGTTCACCAAGAAATGAGAAGATTAATTGTAAGCTTATAGGTGACATATGAACGAGAGGGAGGGAGGGGGGGAGGGTGAACTTTATGACTGAGGGGCCACTAGGTTGGGTGGTGGAATCAAGGCCTTGCACTAAAGAGAAATATATAGGGAAAATTGACAAGGTTGGTCTATAGCCCACCCTAAAAAAAAGAACAAAAAACTTAGACTTTATGACCTCAAGACCTCGCATTGAAGAGAAATAAATTTTATGGAATTAAATATTTGACATAAAATACGTATTAAATATTTAAAAGTGTGACATATAATAAATATATAAATTTATATGTTTTGCACGTGTCCTCACGTTTTGTGCCTTGCATTTTTTAAAAATTTGTGTCTGCATGTTTGTATCATTTCCATGTTGTGTCATGTATCCGTGTCTGTGTCCGTGCTTTTTCACATGCTAGCAAAAATTATGAAATAATGGGTACCTATGATGAGTATGGTTTATGAAAATTGGCTTTATGTTTAAAATGTTTTTTTGATTTGGGCAGGCTTTGACTTTAGACCAAATTGACTGGATGAACTTTGTTGTGTTTTTGAATGCAAGGATTTTTGAAGTAAATTTTTTTTTTAAAAAAAAATTGACAGATCGATCAATTGTGATAAAAAGAGAGACTAACCAGATCTGAGAAGTCAAATTCACTGTGTGCTCAATCGAGACCTTGTTGCCGTCACTGAAATGTAGAAGAAAAACCCTAAAACTCTCAATTCTAGAGTTCACCAAGAAATGAGAAAATTAATCAGAAGCTTATAGGTGACATATAAACGCGAGAGAGGGAGGGAGAATTTTATGACTTAGGGGCCACCAGGTTGGATGGTGGAATCAAGGCCTCACACTAAACAGAAATATATAGGGAAAATTGACGAGGTTGGTCTATAAACCACCCTAAAAAAAAGAACAAAAAAGCTTAAACTTTATGATCTCAAGACCTCGCATTGAAAAGAAACAAATTTCTTAAAATTAAATATTTGACATAAAACACATTAAATATTTAAAGTATGACATATAAATATATTAAATTATCCGTTTTGCATGTGTCCTCACGTTTTGTCTCTTGCATTTTTTAAAAATTTGCGTGTTCGTGTCATTTTCGTGTTGTCATGTGTTCGTGTCCGTGCATTTTAGAATGCTAGCAAAAGCTATGAAATAATGGGTACCTATGATGAGTATGGTTTATGAAAATTGGCTTTCTATTTAATTTTTTTTTTGATTTGGGCACGCTTTGACTTCAAAATTGATTGGATGAACTTTGCCGTGTTTTTTAATGCAAGGATTTTCGAAGTAATGTTTTTGTTTAAAAAAATTGACAGATCAATCAATTGTGACCAGATCCGAGAAGTCAAATTCACCGTGTGCTTAATTGAGACCTTGTTGCCATCACTGAAATGTAGCAAAAAAATCCTAAAACTCTCAATTCTAGAGTTCACGAAGAAATGAGAAGATTAATCAGAAGCTTATAGGTGACATATAAACGAGAGGGAGGGAGGGAGAACTTTATGACTGAGGGGCCACCAAGTTGGATGGTGGAATCAAGGCCTTGCACTAAAGAGAAATATTTAGGGAAAATTGAAAAGGTTGGTCTATAGGCCCCGCCCCCCCTCACAAAAAAAAAAAAACTTAAACTATAGGATCTCAAGACATCGCACTAAAGAGAGATAAAATATATAAGATTAAATATTTGACATAAAATATATATTGAATATTTTAGAGTATGACATAATAAATATATAAAATTATATGTTTTGCACGTGTACTCACGTTTTGTGTCTTGCATTTTTTTAAAATTTGTGTGTGTGTCATTTCCGTGTTGTGTCTGTGTCAGTGCATTTTAGAATGCTAGCAAAAGCTATGAAATAATTATGATGAGTATGGTTTATGAGAATTGGCTTTTTGTTTAAAAAGCTTTTGATTTGGGCATACTTCGACTTCAGACCTAATTGACTAGATGAACTTTGCCGTGTTTTTTAATGCAAGGATTTGTGAAATAATGTTTTTTAAAAAAAAAAAAATTGACAGATCGATCAATTGTGATAAAAAGATAGACGAACCAGATTTGAGAAGTCAAATTCATTGTGTGCTCAATCGAGACCTTGTTGCCATCACTGAAATGTAGAGTTCACGAAGAAATGAGAAGATTAATCAGAAGCTTATAGGTGACATATAAACGAGAGGGAGTGCGGGAGATCTTTATGATTGAGGGGCCACTAGGTTGGATGGTGGAATCAAGGCCTCGCACTAAAGAGAAATATTTAGGAAAAATTGACAAGGTTGGTCTATTCCCCTCCCCTCCCCCCCCAAAAAAAATTAAGACCTCGCACTAAAGAGATAAATTTTATAAGATTAAATATTTGACATAAAATACATATTAAATATTTTAAAGTATGACATATAATAAATATATAAAATTATATGTTTTGCACGTGTACTCACGTTTTGTGTTTTGTATTTTTTAAAAATTTGTGTTCATGTCATTTCCATGTGTCCGTGCTTTTTAGCATGCTAGCAAAAGCTAAATAATGGGTACCTATGATGAGTATGGTTTATGAAAATTGGCCTTTTGTTTAAAAAGTTTTTTGATTTAGGCATGCTTTGACTTCAGAACTAATTGACTGGATGGAGTTTGCCGTGTTTTTTTATGTAATGATTTTCGAAGTAATTTTTTTTTGTTAAAAAAAACTGACAAATCGATCAATTGTGATAAAAAGAAAGACTAACCGGATCTGAGAAGTCAAATTCACTGTGTGCTCAATCGAGACCTTGTTGCCGTCATTGATATGTAGAAGAAAAATCCTAAAACTCTCAATTCTGGAGTTTACCAAGAAATGTGAAGATTAATCAGAGGCTTATAGGTGACATAAACGAGAGAGAAGGAGAGAGAACTTTATGACTGAGGGGCCACCAAGTTGGATGGTGGAATCAAGGCCTCGCACTAAAGTGAAATGTATAGTGAAGATTCTATAGCCCCCCCCCCCCCCAAAGCCAATTTTCATAAACCATGCTCATCATAGGTACCCATTATTTTCATAGCTTTTACCGAAGAGAAATTAGTTTTATAAAATTAAATATTGGACCTAAATACATATTTAATATTTAAAAATATGACATCTAATAAATATATAAAATTATATGTGTTTTGCACGTGTCTTCACGTTGTGTCTTACATCTTTTAAAAATTTGCATGTCCGCGTGTTCGTGTCATTTCTGTGTTGAGTCATGTGTCATTTCTGTTCATCCAGTCAATTAGGTCTGAAGTCAAAGCCTGCCCAAATCAAAAACCTTATTAAACAGAAAGCCAATTTTCATAAACCATGCTCATCATAGGTACCCATTATTTTCATAGCTTTTACCGAAGAGAAATTAGTTTTATAAAATTAAATATTGGACCTAAATACATATTTAATATTTAAAAATATGACATCTAATAAATATATAAAATTATATGTTTTGCACGTGTCTTCACGTTTTGTGTCTTACATCTTTTAAAAATTTGCATGTCCGCGTGTTCGTGTCATTTCTGTGTTGAGTCATGTATCCATGTCTGTGTCTGTGTCTGTGTTTTTTTGTATGCTACCAAAAGCTATGAAAATAATGGGTACTTATGATGAGCATGGTTTATGAAAATTGGCTTTCTGTTTAATAAGGTTTTTGATTTGGGCAGGCTTTGACTTCAGACCTAATTGACTGGATGAACTTTGCCGTGTTTTTTAATGCAAGGATTTTTGAAGTAATTATTTTTTTTTAAAAAAAAATTTGATAGATCGATCAATTGTGATAAAAAGAGAGACTAAGGCCTCGTTTGGGAATAGGCTAATTTAGTAACTTTTTGGCTATTTGGCTAAAATATGGACTAAAAAAAATTAGTATGTTTGCGATAACTTTTTGGCTTTTTATGAAAAGATGTGCAAAAAGTAGAGAGAAGAGAATCTTTGACTTTTTGGTATGGTTTGTTGACTTTTTGACTTTTTTAGTTACTTTTTGGCTTTTTGGCTAAACCGGCCTGTTGCCAAACGGGGCCTAACTAGATCTGAGAAGTCAAATTCACTGTGTGCTCAATCAAGATGTTGTTGCCGTCACTGAAACGTAGAAGAAAAATCCTAGAACTCTCAATTCTAGAGTTCACCATGAAATGAGAAGATTAATCAGAAACTTATAGGTGACATATAAACGAGAGAGAGGGAGGGAGAACTTTATGACTGAGGGGCCACTAGGTTGGATGGTGGAATCAAGGCCTCGCACTAAAGTGAAATATAGTGAAAATTGACAAGGTTGGTCTATAGTCCCCCTCCTCCCCAACCCCCACCCCCAAAAAAAAAAGAAAAGAAAAAGCAAAATATTTAAAACTTTATGATCTCAAGACCTCGCACTGATGAGAAATAAATTTTATAAAATTAAATATTTTACTTAAAATACACATTAAATATTTAAAAATGTGACATCATAAATATATAAAATTATATATTTTACACGCGTCCTAGCGTTTTTTGCACGTGTCCTCACGTTTTGTGTCTTACATCTTTTAAAAATTTGCGTGTCAGCGTGTTCGTGTCATTTCTGTGTTGTGTCACGTGTACATGTCTGTCATTGACTGTGTCTGTGTTTTATAGGATGCTACCAAAAGCTATGAAATAATGGTACCTATGACAAGCATGGTTTATGAAATTTGGTTTTTTGTTTAAAAAGTTTTTTGATTTGGGCAGGCTTTGACTTCAGACCTAATTGTTGATTGGATGAACTTTGCTGTGTTTCTTAATGCAAGGATTTTTGAAGTAATTATTTTTTTAAAAAAAATTTGATTGATTGATCGATTGAGAAGTCAAATTCACTAGGTGCTCAATCGAGACCTTGTTGCCATCACTGAAATGTAGAAGAAAGACCCTAATGCTATGTTTGGTTGGGGAATTTGAGGAGGGATTTGGAAAGGGAAATAGAAAAGGTAGGTGAAATGTGAATAAAACATACATATATTTCACTTAGTTTCACACACTTTTTCCCTTTCCCTTTCCCTTTCCCTTTCCAAATCTCTCCTCAAATCCCCTAACCAAACACAGCGTAAAACTCTCAATTCTATAGTTCACCAAGAAATGAGGTTAATCAAAAGCTTATAGGTGACATATAAACTAGGGGTGCAACTCGGGTGGGTTCGGTCGGGTTGGAGGTTTGCCCAAGCCCAGCCCGAATTGTGTTTGGCAGTGCCCAAGCCCGCCCAAGCCCGACCATGAACCCGAGCATGGCTGCCCAAGCCCAAACCAAGCTTCATGATTCGAACTCGGGTTAGCCCGAATTGCCCGAATTTCACAAGGCAACAAACAACTAAATTTTTCTATACAACAAACAGTGCTTCATTATATACATAAGTCCATTAGTCCATACAACAAATTTAAACATCATCCCAACCACAAGAGTCTCAGAGAGAGGGAAGGAAGAATAGATAAGGTAGGGTTTTGTTTTTAGTTTTAATCTAATGGTCCAAATAAAAAATGCTAATCCAAGGGCCAAAAGGCCAGCCAAAAAATAAAATAAAATTAAGGGCCAGCTATTTAATTTATTTTATACATATATTATGTAATTTATGTGATATATTAAATGCAATTCGGGTTCAGGTTACTCGGGTTAGTCACTGACTCTGCCCAGGCTCGGCTCGATCCGAATTACAATTCGGGTATCAAAAACCTGCCCAGGCCCGTCCAGATTACAAGATATTGTTGCCCAAGCCTTAAAAAAACTCAGGCTGGGCACGAGTTGCTCGGGTTGAGCCCGCCCGAGTTGCATCCCTAATATAAACGAGGGAGGGAGGGAGGGAGAACTTTATGACTGAGGGGCCACCAGGTTGGATGGTGGAACCAAGGTCTTACACTAAAGAGAAATATATAGGGAAAATTGATAAGGATGGTTTATAGCAACCCCCCAAAAGAACAAAGAACTTAAACTTTATGATCTGAAGATCTCGGCTTGAAGTGAAATAAATTTTATAAAATTAAATATTTGACATCAAATACATATTAATTATTTAAAAGTATGACATATAATAAATATATAAAATTATATATTTTGTGCTTGCCCTCACGTTTTGTGTCTTGTATTTTTTAAAAATTTGCGTGTTTGCGTGTTCGTGTTGTGTCACGTGTCCGTGCTTTTTAGCATGCTACCAAAAGCTATGAAATTATGGGTACCTATGATGAGTATGGTTTATGAAAATTAGCTTTATGTTTAAAAAGTTCTTTGATTTGTGCAGGCTTTGACTTCAAACCTGATTGACTGGATGAACTTTGCCGTGTTTTTTAATGCATGGAACGTGAATTCAAATGAGTTTGTGCCGGATAAGGATGCATGTAAGCCTGGTACTTGGCACATTGTGAATTCTTTGCTAGATAAGTACATCCTGGAGAAACTCAGATCCATGGGACCCTTAATTTCTTCGCCCGGCTGTGAACTACCTTTGTTAGTGCAATTGGTTACCGAGCCCTTGGCTTGGCATGGTCTCATACTACAGTCTTGTGTCCGGTCATCTCTTCCATCCGGAAAGAAGAAGAAGAAAGGTGGGCCTGCAGAGCAGACAAACTCTCAACTTTCTCAAGGAATCAGGGATTCAATTGTGTCTCTATGTGGAGTGATAGAGGAGGTTGCAAAGTGGTTAAGAGAACAAATCAAGAAGCCAGTGGACATGAATGTGGAAATCATACTTTCTTCCCTCCAGGTAAAAGAACATGATAATGACGGGCCTGGGAAGGTTTTTCAAGTTCTAGAAACATCTATGCCATCCATGAATGATGTTGAACTTGGTGATCGGATTTCTCAAGCATTGAAGTTTTGGAGCCCTGCTGATGTTGCAAGAAAGATAGTAACCGGGCAGTGTACTGTAATGTCTGAGTTTCTCCGGATATGTGAATGGAAGATTAAATCATTGCAGGCATTGAAACTGCAAATGTGGCAAGTCTGAAAGAAACTATAGGTGAGGTGAACACACAATTTTATGCCTTGATTTGACCTCATATGCTCTGCATGTTGAGGTGGAGCAGGGTTGAAAACAGAAACACAACATTTGAATGTGCTTGTGCTTGTTAATTTTTTTTCCTCTTAGGATGATCTCATGTGAGGAGGGAGCACTGATTGGATTCTGGTTGAGTGCCACGCCTTTTCTGAGGGTTTTTTATTTTTTATTTTCAGAATAGATTCTCTGTTCAACAGTGTAGACTAAATAAACAGTTAAGGTTCTTCCTTGAACATGTTTGACATTTCAACAGGCTTGTAACATTAATTGTTTCAAGAATTTTGTGGCAATTGTATCATTCATTTTCTTGGTTTGCAATGTTTTGTCAGTGGCCTTTCAGTCATTCTCTCTCTTTGAAGATTAGTCCACTCCATTTCTTTCTGTGCGCGTTCATTAAAAAAAAAAAAAAAAAAAAAAAAAAAAAAAAGAAAAAGAAAAAGAAAAAGATTGAGAGATATCACAATGAGAGAGAACTTTCAAAAGCAAGGATTTTTATGTAAATTTTTTTTTTTTTAAATTATTCACAGATCGATCAATTGTGATAAAAAGAGACACTAATCCGATTTGAGAAGTTAAATTCACTTTGTGCTTGATTGAGACCTTGTTATCGTCATTGAAATGTAAAAGAAAAATGTTAAAACTCTCAATTTAGAGTTCATAAAGAAATGAGACGATTAATCAGAAGTTTATAAGTGGTGACATATATACAGGGGAGAGAGAGAGAGATCACGAAGAGAGAACTTTCAAAAGCAAGGATTTTTGAAGTAAAAGAACTCCTAAAATTTGACAGATAGATCAATTTTGATAAAAAGTGAGACTAATCATATTTAAAAAGTCAAATTCACTATGTGTTCAATTGAGACCTTGTTGCCGTCACTAAAACTGACAATTCTAACGTTTACCAAGAAATAAGAAGATTAATTTGAAGCATCATCATTATTTCTAGTGTGTGATGGTGACCACCAGGGAAAATGTGAGTTTTAGAAACAATTTCTAAATTATGCACTTTTATCCTTCAAAGGAAAAAAGGGGAAAAACTTATTTAAATTGTAAAAAATTTACTTGTCAATGACAAGCTTCAAATGGTAAAAAGGTTACCCAACTTTATTATTGGGTCACACCAGGGTGTGCCCTTCATAATATAGCATATATTATATAGTATAAGGTAAATTATTTTTTTCCCGTCTAATTTTCATTTAAATTTAAGGCATATTACAGTTTACCCCCTTTCAATTATCACGTTTTTTATTTTATCCCTTCAAATTATAAATTGATACAATATATTCCTTATCTTTTAAAAGTTTTTAAACTAACCCTTTTTTCTCTATTCTGTTAACAAAACAAATAAAAAATATACATATAATGTGCACATGTCATATTTATGATGAAAATACTCTTTAAAGACATGTCATAAATATAACATGTGCACATTATATGCACTTTTTCCTTTATTTTATTAACAAAATGAAAACATAAAGAGAAGATTAAAAACTTTTAGAAGATGAAAGGGGTACATTGTATCAATTTTTAGTTTAAGGAGGTAAAGTGAAAAACAATGATAGTTGAGGGGAGTAAAGTATAATTTGCCATAGCTCAATTGCTGATTCAATATAGTTCTTTCGTTACTCAATTTTTTTTAAAAAAAAAATTGACAAAAAATGCATATGTAATGGTCACGTTGTAAGACTTTTTAAGGGTGTTGCGTTTTTTGCACTTGACTTTTAGTTAAATTTTATTTTGATCTCTCATTTTTATCTTTCGCTCAAATTTTAGACGATAAATAGAAAGCCTAATTGTGTGATTATTCTTATAGAAATCAATTTTTTTTTTTGTTCATTTATTTACTTATTGTTTTGTATGGGTATGACATCATTCTTAGACCTTGTATTTCTTTGAAAATCCTAAAGAAAATGACAGTCAACTAAAGCAAAAGATACACCATCCCTCAAGTCCAACAAACCTTAACCAAAATTCAACAGCCCCAATGTCTCTCCAATCAATCTCATATTTCAACCTAATGATCATTAAACAAAATGAGACAAACCATGATGCCCTAATAAATGAGTCCATTCGTTTTTTATGTGCTAAATTTTTTTGACATATAAACTAAATACGAAAACATTATTTCTAAATGTGGTGTAGCTTGTTAGGTGTCCCTCTGAGATTCGGGGGATTGGATTGTTTAACTAACTAACCACCCTGTAACCATAACACTTAGACCTCCCTGTTTATACTATAAATTTGGTGGTAGTCAGTGATCCTAACCTTATTTCACATTTTGTCTTTTACATTAATGACAGTGATCACACACAATTAGACCACATCAATCTCTTGTCGTACCCAATACACAAGCTTCCGCTTTCTGTCTTAGTGTATTTTCAATGAAAAGATAATGTGAAAATCTCGAGATATGATCTTAGATTGAAAACATATTGAGATAGAGAGACGAGAATTTAAAGACAGAAGATCTCATGTCAGGTCGAAAGAAATAGTTGATAGACCGTCTTCTTTCACGTTTTGTAGAGACAATGCCCGTAATTTGAACACTAAAAACACTTGGACTAAATACCAAATCATGGCTCACGACATTAAGAGTTTTGGACTGCACTTCCAATGTCACCCATAACATTTTTTTTCTATATGAGTCCAATTTACTCCTCCACTTATAAAAAAAGATGACTCAGTGCATGAGACTTTAACTAAAGTAATGTTTGAGGAGGACAAAATATACGCATTCATACTCTCATTTCTATAGAGACTATTTATGTGACTCGAATTTGCATCATTCGAGATACTAACAACAAGCCTTACCGCTGTGCCAAACCACCCTTTCTAATGAAAAAAATTAATAAAAAAAAAAATTGACCATTTCTAGTATACATAAAAAAATAGGGCTGATCATAACAGAATCTTTTAACAAACCGCAGAGCCAGTGGGTGCACCAACTCCTCTTTAGTTGGACTTGGCTGCCTCAAATCTTTCATGTTGCTGTTGACTCATAACCTAATCTGTCCTAGAAGGCCTTAAACGTCTATCTTTCTCATTTATTATTAATTTATTTATTTATTTTTTTTTAAATCTTAAATTTTTTAATGAAGCTAAGCTTTCTATGCAGTCCTTAGTGCAGTATAAATTACTGGTCCATCATATAGTCTAACTCACATACACAATAGAACCAAAGCCTAGTGGAAGAGACGATCTCATCATACATGGAGGCTTACAAAGTGCATGCTAAGCCACAGTTCAACTGCCTCTCCCTAGCCTTTCTCTTTTTATTTTCGTTAATATCGTCTTTTGCAAATGCAGAAATTCACCACCACCAATTCACCGTACGTCTTCTTCTTCATCTTCTCCTTCAATCTTCTTTGTAGCGATTTCTCATTGGTTATAAACAAAAATATACTTTTTTTCATCTTGAAATAGGTTCAAGAAACTCCGGTGAACAGGCTGTGCAAAACTCATAACATAATCACTGTTAACGGCCAATTTCCAGGGCCAACATTGGAAGTACGCAACGGTGACACACTTGTCATCAAAGTCCTAAACAGTGGACGTTACAATATCACCATCCACTGGTACAAGTTTCTATAAGTACACTTGTGACACAAAAATTGAAATGCGTGACTCAGATTCATCGATTGAGTGATTAATTTAGTTACGTGTTTTTTGGTGTCTTATTGTTGTGACTATCAGGCACGGAATTCGACAAATACGAAGTCAATGGGCAGATGGACCTGAATATGTGACACAGTGTCCGATCAAGCCAGGAGGGACCTACACGTACCGGTTCACGATTGAAGATCAGGAGGGAACACTCTGGTGGCATGCTCATAGCAGATGGCTTAGAGCTACTGTTTATGGAGCACTCATCATTCACCCTAAATTGGGTTCTCCTTATCCCTTCCAAAATCCCAAGCAAGAGATCCCTATTCTTCTAGGTAATGAATAACATGAGCGGTACTACTACTTACATAGAAATAGAACACAGAATATAGGAGATCCGCCTCTTTCCTGTATTGTATTTGTACACAAGTATGAAATAATAGCATGAGTCAATTACAAGTTTTCCCTACCAATTTTGAGTAACCAATATAACAATGGTACTGATGATGATGAACAGGGGAATGGTGGAACAGAGACCCCATTAGTGTCCAAAGACAGACAGTTTTCACCGGGGCAGCTCCAAATGTATCCGACGCCTACACCATTAACGGTCAACCTGGCGACTTATACCCATGTTCCAATAAAGGTCTGTACAGTAACAGGAGTCTCGTGCACTATCATTGCTTTTTTTTATTTAAATTTTTTGACTTCTATTTCATCATATACCAATTGACATAACTCTAAATTACAATACAGGCACAGTCAGATTCACTGTGGATTCCGGGGAAACAATTCTCCTCCGAATCATCAACGCTGCACTCAATCAACAACTCTTCTTCGCGGTAGCCAACCACAGGTTCACCGTCGTGGCCACTGATGCGCTCTACACTCGGCCCTTCACAACCTCCATCCTCATGTTGGGACCCGGCCAGACAACCGATGTCCTCCTCACCACTGACCAGACTCCTGGGCACTACTACATGGCTGCCCGTGCCTATGCCACTGCCCAAAATGCACCGTTTGACAACACCACCACCACCGCCATCCTCAAATACAGAACGGCCAAGACAGGTGTCCCCTCCAGGCCAACCATGCCCCGGTTACCGGCCTACAACGACACTGCTACCGTCACTGCTTTCACGTCACAATTTAGAAGTCCTTTTAAGGTTGAAGTCCCAACCGTGATCGATGAAAACCTTTTTTTCACCATCGGGTTAGGACTTGTCAATTGTACCCCTGGACCGCGGTGTCAAGGGCCTAATAACACCCGTTTCGCAGCCAGCATGAACAACGTGTCGTTTGTACTCCCGAGAAGGAAAAGGAATTCTTTACTCCAAGCCTACTATCAAAATGTGCCAGGTGTCTATACCACGGACTTTCCGACTGTTCCACCTGTACAATTCAACTACACGGGCAATGTGCCCCGGGGGTTGTGGCAACCTGTTTACGGGACTAAGCTTCACAAGATGAAGTTTGGTTCCAGGGTCCAAATTGTGTTGCAAGATACAGCTATTGTCACAACAGAGGACCACCCTATTCATCTTCATGGGTACCATTTCTATGTTGTTGGACAAGGTTTTGGTAATTTTAATCCTAGAAGAGATCCTGCAAGATTTAACCTCATTGATCCTCCACAGAGGAACACTATTGATGTCCCTGTTGGTGGATGGGCAGTCATCCGGTTTGTCGCTGATAATCCAGGTAAATTGATTGTAATTCGTCGCTCTGTTTGTTTCAGCAGAAAACGTCTTTTGAAAAAACTTCTGCATTTCTTGATGTTTTGAAATATAAAATGTTTTTCAACAAAACAAACAGAACGAATATTGAATAATAGACTTCGATGACTACTATTAATTGAATAAATTTTGACATCATTTTATTATTTGCAAAACAGGGGTTTGGCTGATGCACTGTCACATAGATTCTCATCTAATGTGGGGTCTGGCTACGTCAATCATCGTTGAAAATGGAGTCGGCGAATTGCAGACTGTAGCGCCTCCTCCACCTGATCTGCCTCCATGCTAAGATCTTCAACAGAAAAACTCTAAATGTTTTCAAAAAACTAGTTGGAATTTCCACTAGTTCCTCCCTAGTTTTGTCAACTTTTTGAATGTTATTAGTCTCCTTCATATAGGAGAATCTCACTGTAGATTGTTGGCTGCAATGGCCATTGTTGTCTGATTGCTGCATTTTTTTGTGCAAATAGAAGCTCCCTCTATTTTGGAATAGGATGGGTTTGAACACTTATTCCAAGCTCAACTCATGATTGGAGGTCCAATTATAATGTAGGTGTTTGGAAAGTTGCTATTTTAGTAGGCTATTTTAGTTTTTGACTATTTTAGTAGGCTAAAATTTTTGTGTTTGGAAAGATGATTAGATTTTTTCATAGTTGGATGTGATGTTTGTGAAAGAAAAAGTGAAATGATTATGAATTTAATGTGATATTTTGTCTTATTATTTATTTTAATATGTTTTGTCTTTTTGTAAATTTTAGCCCAAAAAAGGTTAAAATCCAACTTGCCAAACACCCCATATGGGTTGAGATTGAAACAAGTGTTTTAAGCTCGTCTGCCTCATTTATTATATATATATATATTTTTGATAACTCAGGTATCCCCACAGCCGAAGCATGGGACTAATCCTGAGGGCCCTGAAGTTAACGACCGGGTAAACCTCCAGTGGCCCGCACAGTAACCCGTGGGGAGTGGGATTCGAACTTGAGACCTCCAGGAGGAGCAAATTCCCAAACCCCAGGTTTTCTTCCCTCACCCACTGGGCCACCCTTGTGGGTTCCAAGTATAAAATATATGATTGACTAATGAATAATAACCTTAGATATTCTAATAGATTATCAAATTATTAGGTTTGAAAAATAAGTTTAATTTTTAACCTTAAATACCACTACTCTGTACAGATTTACATTTTTAGTCCATTTATAGATTACATAATTAAATGTGTTGTAAGCATGAAACTCAAAAGACTTCAAATTTTTGTTTCATTATGATAATTCAAATTTGGTTATATCTTCACTGAAGTGTAACTTAAACTCAAGTTGATCCTAGATCGAAGTATAAAAAATATGATTGACTGATGAATAATAACCTTAATATTCTAATAGATTGTCACATTATTAAGTTTAAAAAATAAGCTTAATTTTTAGCCTTGAATAGCACTACTCCGTGTGGATTTACATTTTTAGTCCATTTATAGATTACATAATTAAATGTGTTGTAAGAATGAAATAACTCAAAAGACTATAAATTTTTGTTTCATTATGATAATTCAAATTTGGTCATATCTTCACTGAATTGTGACCTAAACTTTGATAATTTAAAATCTACCAAGTCTATTGCCCAAACGGAATTGAATTTAACTTACATACAAATTTACACAATTTGAATTAGTTAATTCCAAATTGAGTAATTTACGAAATAACTAACAAGACACGATAAAATATGAGAGTTTTAAGTACCAAACTTTTTTATTTTTAAAACTGAAAATTTTATTGCAAAAAAAATCTAGGAATCAATTCCTGTCATCGCGAGAATAATCACCAAAAGGTTATTCTGATAAGTTAAAAAAAGATTTTTACTGACAAAATTTTAAAAATATTGCTAATAAATGCAGACAAAATAATTTGATTCTAAAAAAGTTTATCTTTTGGGACAAAAATTTTGGTCTTTAAAAGATAATAATTCATCATTATAAATGTCTAATTTCGTGAGTCAAATATAATAATGACAATTTTTGATAAAAAAAATATTTTATTCTTAAAAAATAATTTTATTCATAAATTTCTGTGTTTAAAACTTTAATTTGTTACAGTAATAATTTGAGTTTAACTTCCAAGATATTTAATCCTAACATGGGATGTACAAGATACACATGGGATATTCTTAGTGATTTTTTGTTCAATTTAAATGTGTAATACAATATTGTGTTTGATTAAAGAATTTAGAAAGTGATTTAAAATTAAAAAAGAAAAAAATGTGTGAAAATAAATAAAATATAAATATATTTTATTCATATTTTATTTATTTATTTATTTTTTAAAATTTTCTATGGTGTAAAGCTCTCTACAAAAATGGTAGAAAAATAAAGGCTCTTTAGAAAAATGGTAGAGAGAGTGTGTGAAAAAAAAAAAAAAAAAAAAAAGAAATTTAAAATAAAAACTTGAAACGAGCATATGGCAGCACAGAAATACCTACCTGCAGAAAATAAATAGTCAACTCACGTTTGTGTCAAAAAAAAGAAACCACCAGTCAGTGTAATTTTTCTTCATAGGTGGGCCCATCATATTGAATGTACACTCTAAATACTTGTACAATATGATTTAATTTTAGGATAATCCTCTAAAAAATGACTGGATCAATGTGGCTTTGGGCAACACATATAGCCTAGGCATTGTTTGGTAAGGGTTAAAGTGGTTATTAAAAGTAATAAAAGATAAAATGAATTATTTTAGTAACAAAAAATAAAATATCACATCTAATCGATAATTATTACACAATTTTTTTTATAAAAAAAGTTAAAAAAATTAAAAAGTCAAAAAGTCTTTCACAAATCAAGCTTTTTAACCCATGTTAAAATAATCAAAAATTCAAAAAGTCAACACACTTCCCAAAACCAAGCCATACTATTTTGATTCTACTTACATAATTTTACTATATTATAAAAAAACTAATTAATAAAATTAAATAATTATAATTATCGAATCAATTTAATTATTTTATATAAACAATTTATCTAAAAATGTTCAAAATAGAAATTTTTATTGATAAATCCAAGTGTTCTAATTCAAGAAATCTATGAAGAAATTTTTTAATCCACTTAGTCCCATGTATTTATACTTTTATTTCATAATTATTTTTATTTTTTTTTATTGAATTACACTATTATCTTAGACTTTTATGCCCTTATATTTAATATTAATATTTAATGTTAGGGGAAGAGAGAGAAGAGAAAGGACCGAGACATAAAAAATTTCATACACAAATTAAATAATATTGATATTATTATTTTATATTATTATATAATGTAAATATATTTTTAATTGACAACATATTAAAAATAATGTGAATATTCTCTTTCATCTAATGCAGTGATGTGAATGTTCACAACATGTGAACCTTCTTATTTTTAATTGACAACACATCAAAAATAACGTTTATTATATTTTTAATTGACAACATATTCTTATTCACAATATGTAGTGATGTCTTTCTCATCTAATGTAGTGATGTGAACGTTCACATTCGTTTGTTTTAGTATAGATATTCACATCATATAATTGACAATACAATGACAAAAATTCATTTCAAATTAATGTGAATATAATGATGTGAATATTCATTTCATGTAAGTAAAATAAATATTCACATCATGTAATTGACAACACAATGACAAAAATTTATTTCAAATTAATATGAATACAATGACAGTTAATATCTTAATGCATGAGAACTACCAAAACATAATGACAATTAACATTAAATATCAACATTAATAGGGGCAGGAGAGATTGAAGGTGTTTTGATCTTTTTATCTCAAATAAGATTTAATGGAATAGTTAAAAAGAATATGAATTTAATGGAATAAAATTCTTAAAAAGAGGATTTATCAAAAAAATTCCTTTAAAAATATAAATATATCAAATTATTAAAATAAAATATGTGAAAAAAAATCCGTTTTTAAGAATTAGAGATTTGTGTCCCACTCTTAATCATTATATATTTATTTGTTATGTATACTTTTTCAACCAGAGATTCTTACGTCAACAGATGCAATAAGTTCGTCAAAGAACATAGATAATCATCACATCAAAATGGGCCAACGTTAAAAAAATATATTGTATAGACCAGCCCATTGTCAATGAGATTACACATTTTCTCAGTTGGTAATACAAAATTTTCCACAGTTTTTATATACAAAGTACTGAGTACACACACTTGACCCACTATTTTCTTGGCCGGTTACCTAATCTATTGAAACTTGGAGCTAATGTGAAATCCATAGGATTAAGTACATGTAACAAATGTGGGGAAACCAACTAATCGAACCTTCTCATTTTAATATTAATTGTGGGGATATATTTTCTGAGTACCAACATGTGATTAAGGTGACGTCGACGTGTCAACCGAGGTGCCACGTGTCCTGGTCATAACGCCGAGGTTATCTTGACAAGGCCGGGGTTACCTCCGAAGATATCGGAATCTGAGATAAGCGGATAAGGCACAAGAGTCCTAGAAAAGAGGAAGACTACAGTTGGAAAATGATAAGACTCTTAGGGAGTTTATCCCAATCCTACTAGGAGTCTAAGATTGATAGTAATCTTAAGTCCATTAGAGCCAGGCTCCTGTTGGGACAAGGATTGAGTTAGCTATAAAAGAGAGGCACCCCCGTGGGTCTAAGGCTTCTATGGGGACAAGGAGTGAGGTAACTATAAAAGAAAGGCACCCCCGATGGGTCTAAGTTACACAATTTATATTATGAACAGTGAGTTTAGCACTATTGATTATCTTTGAGAGATATACTGACTTGATCGTCGGAGTGCCCTCGGGTGGACGAACCACCGCCGGAATCTTCTCTTTCTGTTGCAGGTCAGACATGTGCCATCTATTTTGCCAGTGCTCTCCAGCTGAATACTGAGTTGGCAGTGTGGTCGGAAAATCACTCACACAATTTGGCGCCGTCTGTGGGAACGAAAGAAGAATAGATGGCCAGTAACAGACAGAAGGAAAAGATTGGGGACGACACTCCTGCTGGGAGTGGGAGACCTATTGACCTTGATGTCGAAGGAGACGAATGCAATGCAGAAACTCGTGACCAGAATCACGGAGTGAAAGACGTCGGCCAGATTGGTGACGCACCAAAGAAACTAGATCGAAGTGGTTACTACAACGAGGACGACCTCCAGATTTGGAAGGATAGATGCCTGCGGAGGGACGAAGAGGTAAAAGAGATGGCAAACAAACTGGTAGACCTGCAGTCGGTCGTCAATTTCATGATGCAAAATAACGTCATGCAGCCACCGTTCTCGCTGCACGACACGCCAATTCCAGCGGCCAATACCCAGAAGGGAGGGTAGAAAACAATCCCCGTAGCCCCTCAGCACAATGGGAGTGAGAGACACTCCCACCGACCTTCTAGGGAAGTCAGACGAAGAGAGTTAAGAAGAGAAGAATCACGGAGGA